TAAACTCTTATATCTATTAATATTGTGTTCACAAATACATAACATTATGGGATATTTAATTCAAAGTGTTGTGTTTGTGCTATTCATAAGCCAAACAATAGCACAACAAAAGGGTAATTATAGCTTAAAACTAATCACTTTATTAAATCAATTAAAATATTTCATTAATTATATTAAATACTAGTCGTCTATAGGGGTCACACCTGTCCGGAGCACGACATGCGAAGGGGCTGTCGGGGGCCTACAGACTGTCTCTACGCTAACCCTAACGACTGCTCCCGATATATACAGTGCAACGACGCGGGTCTAGCCTATGACATGCCCTGTCCATCGGGCCTACACTACAGCACTAGGAGTAAAGCCTGTGATTCCCCACATCTGGCCGGTTGTAAGTCGGACACACAGTTTGAATGTCCCCGGTATGACATACTCAAGACACAGTGTACGCGCGAACGGGACTGCCTATACCCGCACCCATCCAACTGTAAGCAATACATTGAATGTGAGGTGAATCACGATCACAGGACTGGTAGGCCTACTGTCAGACACTGCGCCTCCGGACTTGAGTGGAATAATAATGACAAGAGGTGTGACTCCATTTCCCGATCTACCTGTCCATTGAGACAAACACAGGACAAGGATAAGGATATTGAGCCAGGTCCTCATTATGATGAACCTAGCGATGCGGTGACCGTTAAAATTATGCCCTTAATTAGTGTTATTTTTATATTGATTGCAATTTTGTTTTAATATAATAATAAAATAAGATTTAATACAAACAATAAATATTATATTTTATGATTTTGTGGTCAAATTAATTATAACTAAATGGGTAATAAGCCACTTAAATCTGTCAAAACAAACTAAAACTTGTATAGAAATCATCTTAAGCATATTACAAATAAGTTTGTTAACTATATATATATAATATATAACTTTTTAATTATTTTTGATGTTTGTAGCCCTTATACCACAAAGTATAATAAGGACATACAGTTTAAATAAGTTTGGTAGGGCGGGCCGTGCCAATAGGACCTGGCTGATTTTATATGAACTTTTATTATATAATGTATTCTCTGTGTTTTGTATATAAAGCATTATTCTTATACTGTATTTTCATTACTATTTCATTAATGAATTTGTATTTCATGATTAGTAGTTTAATTCAAACATTTGCACCAAAATTATTAGTAATACTTTTAAAAGTATACAGTATAATGACAAATGTACACATTTTAGCATACATTCACTATTACTAATTAAATAATCATTAAAGGTGTTGGACTGGTAAAGAAGTATACTGATGGAGAACAGGTAAGCCAGATGATTTATTAGAAAGCACTGATTTATTATACAAGCATTGGTTAATCAA